ACTGTATATTTATTTATTTGTTCAGAATTTCTGAATGAGCCTCAGAGAAGAAAAGATCTCATCGTTTCCAGCAGCAGTCCTCAGTGTGACAGTCGACCAAGTAGAAACACACGATTCAGTCAGCGGCTGCTCAGCAAACTGTCACAACACAATAAGACGGTCTGTCTGTCCGTCCGTCTCTTATCTGTCCGTCCTCTGCTCTTATCTCATGCTGTCTCACTCCCTCATTCAGCCTTTGTTTGAGTAAACAGAGCTGAATCCCACATCCTGTCCGTCAGCAGCATTGTTAGCGCGTGACAGCGGATATTTCTCCCCCCTCCACCGTCTTCAGTTTGCAGCAGGTTTGCTGTGAGCAGAGGGTCAACAGTGGGATGTTTGTGTTTCTAAATGATGAGCTTTGAGCTGTTTCTCTTCTCTCTCCATCAGCAGACGAAGATCGACACACCTCCGGCTACAGCCATTGGAGCGAAGGCAGCACCGGTCACGGCCTCCAAGGCTGCACAGCCGCCACTGACAGGCATCGGTACAGTACAACACACACACACCTGCACACACACACACACACACACACACACCTGCACACACAACACACACACACAACACACACACACCTCTGCACACACACACACACACACACACACACACACACCTACACACACTCACTTCCTTCCGTCTTGCCAGCTGTTGTCCACAGTGTCGGCATTATGTAACCACCGTGTGCCGTTTCATCTAATCTGAGCTTAATCTGCAGATAACCCCTCAGTGGAAACACAACGGAGGGTTTGACTTTACAGATCAGCCTCGGTGTGCCGAGTCACCACATAATCAGTCAGTTTGGTGATTTGGTTGTTCAGCCGCTGTTTGAGCAGCAGTTTGTGTTTGTGTTTATCTAAATAGATAGAACCAGTTCTCAATTAACGTCCCTGGTAAAATAAAGGTAAATAATAACAGAGCAGACATTGTTCTTAAGGGATGCGTCTTGCCCTGGTTCATGGATACATAACGGCGTCTGATCGTTGAATTTAAGTTAACAAAAGAGATTTAAATACAGTGAAATAGGGCAATTTCATAGTGAGACTTTCAAGTTTTACTGTTGGTAAAAATAAAGATTTTTAATGTGAAGATTTACGTTTTTAGACTTTTATATGGTTAACATGTAAATTAATATTTTTTTCTGGGATTTTACTAATTTACCAAAATTAAAATTACTATACAAATTAATATACTACATTTTTTTTCTGGGATTTAAAAAGTTATTAGTTGTAATTTAATTTTTAAAAACAAAAAATAAAGTAAAATAACAGTAAATTATTCCCAAAAAAATTTACATGGTGAATACATTTATAAAAAATGTAATTAAATTCATTTTTTACAGCGTAACTTGCAATGTAGTATTAGAACCACTGACTCTACTGCACTCTGGCTTTTTATAACGTCATATTGTTAATTATAGCTCCAAGGTGTCATTTATTTGCTGATTTGTGACCCTCACAAAAATAAATCCCACACGAAATAAAAATGTTTTAAAAAAAAGAGTTCAATGATCCAGTCCAAAGTATTTTCACATATTTCCAGCAGTTATTTCCCAACACGTGTCTTGTGTTTAGGGCAGGATTTGACTGACAGACGAGATCAGTTTGACACTGACTACTTAGATCAATTAAACAAACTAACATGGAGGAGTTAAAGGAACAAGAAGCCTACAAGGAGACCTAATGGCCAAAAAGAGACTGTAAGCTGCACATGAATCAGAAAACGTTCAACAGGGGCATCCAAAGGGCGGCACATTAATTCTAATGCCCTACTTCTAGAAAACACAGCGAACAGGTACAACACCGGACACCAGATGTCTGCTGTCAGGTCGCACCACAGAAAAATAAGTATACATATACAGCAGCCTAATATTGCTCCTCTCTTTGGTTTCCTTTCTGTCCAGGCTCCAAGGCAGCTCCTCGACCTGGAGGCATCGGCAGCGCAGCAGCCGGGCAGCCTGGCATGGAGGGGGAAGGCATGTTGTCTAAGATCCTGCCTGGAGGAGCCGCCGAGCAGGCCGGGAAGCTGGGAGAAGGTACAGCAAAGACATTTTATCATAGGATCTGACTTTGATCTGATGAAAGACAGCAGCCACCATAAAAATAGAGCATCTACCACTTTAAAGCTTTGCCATGTTCATCATGTAATGTTTAAAAAATGCTGGAAAACACTGCTTTTAAAAATAAATTCCGCTTTATTTCCTGCCTTCAGTAACAACCCACTGATGGATCCTGAGCCAGCCTAGTGGACATGAACACATGGGCCTCTTTTTAAAGTGCCTATTACCATTTGTTGCGGTGAAATTAATTAACCAAGTACAAAGAAAGAAGCTTTCAAGCTACTCATGAATAAATCAAGTGAGGAAGTTACATGTCCTCATTCAGCAGCAGCTTCATCCTGATGACAGATTTATTGTTGCTGCTGTTTTTGTTGACTCAGGAAAAGTCATTGTTCTAGTTGTTCTGGATCCAGCTGCTGCTTTTGACACAGTGGAACACATAATTGTCTTAAAAGATGAGAAAACTGGGTAGAAACTGTTTTTGAACAGGTCAAATCATGTCTTCTTTGATTTGATGAAATATGAGGTTCCACAGGGTTCCATTCTGGGTCCTCCACTATTCAAACTGTAGCTGCTCTCGTTAAACCAAACTGGGCAAAGTAGCTGATCACAACTATGTAGATGACACATAAATATACATAGTTCTGTATAAATATATTGACCTGCTGAATCTATGATCAATGATTGGATGTGTTGCACCAATAAAAATAAATAAACAAACATCTTTTTAGTTTGCTGCTCGATCTCTTAAAGGGACGGCGTATTTTCTTTACGTAAAGGACGAGTTTACTCAGTTTTCTATAGTAACAAGTGGGTATGCAGACAAATAATGTTTTTAAACTCATTTCAGCAGAAATATAAGTTAGCAAAACATTTATAGAAAGCAAAATAATTCAACTTAACGTATCTGACAAAGAAATCGAAAATCATAAATTCTGGAAGCAGGAAAAACTTTTCCAACTAAACTGAGCTGAGATTTTTGTTTTCAACTCCTGACTTGAATCTCTCTCTAATAACTGTCAAGTAAGAAGTTTTGGTTTCATCCTGGATTCTGATTTAAATGTTTACAATCACATTAAATCAAGAACTTTATCAGCTTTCTGCCATTTACAAAAACATCACTAGAGTCAGAGGAATAAAGTCGAACGTACGGTCTTTATTCCCAGTAGATTTGTTTACTGTTTACTTCAAAATAATTACTTTGACAATCCTCACACGTGTTTGTTCCCTGACAAAAACTAGGAGATATGACCACATTACTCCAGTTTTAAAACCCTTACAGTGACTACCTGTTCCTTAAGAGAACTGATTTTAGAAGCTTATGATTTGTCTATAAACCACCGGGTGGCTTAGTGCCTAAATACATCTCTGATATTCTTGTGAAATATTTATTTTCTTCAACATCTGACCTGCTAGCTGTCCTCAGTTTAAGATGATTGTTTCATCCGAGTGTCTCATGTCTGTCTTTTGCTATTTTTATTGTGAATTTTCACTTGTAAATGATGTAGTTTAACTAAAAATTTAAATCTGATGCCCTTTACTATGTTTTTATGCTGTTTACTGTGACGTTTAAAGCTCATGGGAGGAAGCAGAGGTTGTTGAAATCTAACAAATACTTTTATTTTGACAGGGTTGTTCAAATTTAAACTGGTTAGTTAACATCTATCTTCTTTTATTTCTCCACTTTCTTCCAGCTATTTCCGGCTTTGGCAAGAAGTTCACCTCCTTCTTCTGAGGTGCTACGATTAAGGTAGTTTTTTTTTTTTTTTGCTTTTCTTGCTCCTTTATATTCCAAGCTTTCATGTGCAAAAGGAATTCTGAAAACTGAATTTTGCAAATAAGTCCACCTTAATTTTCTGTCCATTATTTTGTTGTTCAATATCCAAAGACTCCACACAGAGAGAACGTTATTAAAGTGTAAAATGTGCATCTAAAAAACGACCACTCTACAAGTACAAGGTCGTCATCGTCAGACATCACCTGCGTATTCGGTCAGTGATTCATGTACAACGAGCTGGAAACATTTCCTCCTTTTTCCTCGGCAAGAACAAGTGCATCTCAAACATTAGGTGTAAAAATAAATGTGCGAGATGCTGCCGGTTCAAAGTCTGCTGGGATGTTGACAGATCGCTGCAGCGTGCTGTGTGTTGACTCTGGTAGGCTGCAGAGTGGGCGGCTTAAAGTGGTTTACTCAGAACAGCCAGTGTGTTCCTGAAGCAGAGCGCCGTGTTTGTGTGTTTTCTTTTATTATTACTTCTATTATTTTTCGGTCTTCTGGCTGCCGTGCATGTGCAGGGCGAGAATTTTAACACGCAAAAAACTTATTCTTACTACGACATAAATTCTACATTAAAAAAGAAAACAGGATGTGAAGCGCCGAGTGGAGGGTGTGCTCACTGTACACCGGAGCTGCAGGCTTGACATTATTGATTTAGACTTGCCGTGGGATTTTATTTACTCGAGACCAGACTCGGCAAAGGTTTCAGACATAAAAGCAAACACAGGTCTTAAGTTCTGACATTTTAAAGTCCCCAGAACAATGAAAAATAAATAAGACAGCGACAGGCTTTGCGTAGCCTTTAAATATTTAATCACTGAGAGGAATTTTTTTGAAAATCTGAATTAGCGCAGCTTAAAACATTCACGCCTGATGTTCAGGAGGACCTCGTTTGTTTTATGACGCCGTCTCGCTGTGTTTTATTGCAAATTAATGCTGCTGCTGCTGCTGCTGAGTTCTCAGATGCTGAAATTAAAACGAACGTCCGTGTGTTTGCAGGACTATGAAAATGTCAACAACAAAAAAAAAGAAGAAGTCACGAGGCCTCGTACCAGAAAAACCTGTGAAGTTCCCCTTGCTTTAATTTTGCTAGAAGAGAAAGAGAAAGGACGGAGAGAGAGGACGGAGCAGAGAGGAGAGCTGAGCACACTGGTGAGTACTGGGACCACTGGTTTAAACTGGGAGGCCAACAGTCTGCACGTTCCTTTTACTTATATCACATCTGGACATTTGAGGGTTAACCCTGTTCAGGACTTTCATGCATTGAAGGTCTTTGAGGGTCCGTTGCAAAATATTTGCTGGTATTAGGTTTAAAAATTAATTTCTTCCGGCTTCGATCGGGTTAATTAATGAGTAAAATAGCTTTAATTGTTTTTTGTTTTTTTTAAAGTGCCATGTCTTTGGACTCATGACATTAGACCTGGATATTCATTTTATTCTGCTTTTATTTGATGTAGGCATGTATTTATTTATTCTATCTATTAACTGTGTTTTCCCTGTTGGTGTCTGCTTGTGTTTGGGTGAAACAGCCCAAGACTAATTTCCCACGCCTGGGACAATAAAGTTAATCTTGAATCTTGATATGTTATAGACTTTTATACTATGTTAAATACATTTTCTGATAAGTATTTTTGGTTCCAAATGGCTGACAAATGTCCCTCTTTTCATATCTTTAAAAACAAAAACACAACACCTCTCACCTAAACCAAATGGCCTGGGCTCCAAAAGACCCCAAAAGTCCTGAATAGGGTTAAACCTGAGTGTCCACTGACAACAGAACATGCATTTAGTCTTGGTTTACTGACCTTGAACATTGGACACTAACTGGCCTTAGTGCACATTTTTGTGTATTCTTAGATGTCTTAGACCTTTCAGAAGTAATAAAATAATAAAAACAGTGAACTCAGTGGAAAACTGGCAGATTCCATCATACAAGCACAAGTTTGCATTTAACATCAACATATGATGGACGATAACCGATTAAAATAATGGTAAATATATTCAGATTTATTATGCATGCAGTGTTATCTGGCGAACAACATGTCCAGGAGGTACAGTACAGTTTATGTTTTAGTATTATGTGTGTGTATGTATTAATTTTTATATATAAAGTCCTGCTCCTCTATGGAAACAGTACAACAACAAAGGAGAGAGAACTCAGAAATGTGTTCTAATAAGTTATAATCTCATGAATAATGAATTTTTAAAAAGAGTTGAGTTTCTTTATTTAACAAAAAAATGGACAAAACTGGAATCAACATGCAAGTTTTTTTTCCCAGTTGCCTAAAACTGTTACTAATACAGAAAAGAGAGATGGTTCTCCACAAATGTGGATATTTTTTTTTTATGTTATATATGGTGGTCTAGTATCTGCTCCGTGTGAACACTGCCTGCAGTTCAGCCACAAAGTCCCTGAATTTTTGTCATGTCACCATTGATTATATCTGAGTCACTGTTAGCTTCATGGTTACAACAAGTAGTGCCGAATTTTTATTTTTTTTACAGAATCCATTTTCAGCAAACACTTGGTTTTTGGTGAATTTTTAAAAATGAAAAATCTGAATTTTAAGCTTGGATCATTTTCCCGATTCACAGATGAGCACTTCAAGGATCACTGGAAAGTTGAACGTCTTTCTGTTTTGACAGTTTCTGGCTCTGATTGAGGTGCTGCTTTTATGAAATTTAAAAAAATAACTTTCAAACCCACCAGCGAGTTTTAGGTTTCAGTTAAACAAGTAAACGGTGTGCAAACGACGACATAACACTGAGCCCTGTAAACTAATTGTTCCTCTCATTCTGGACACCAAACTCCAAATGTTTTCCAAAATATCTCCATTAATACATTTACTGGCTGATAATGTTAAACCAGGTGTTGGTAGACGTTTCTGTTAAGAAACACACGTTTGCTAAAATGCTGCTTCTTCCTCTTGCAGCCAACACGGACTGGAATCTTCTGGAAGCTTCATGTCTGGAGCCTGAACACATCGGCAGAGAGAAGACGCTGCTCTCTGGGAGGCCAGACAGTGAGTCACCTTCACCTCTACACAACTGATCCCATCGAGATGTTTTCACCTGCAGAACATCACGATATGAAACCCTGACATCAAGATTGTGTCTTCCTGACTGTCAACCATTCGTCATGATCGTAATGCTTTTATTCATCGAGGTGTTTGGATTCTTCACACAGGAACATCGGAGGAATCGAGGGAGTTGATGCCAAAGTGGGCCAAACCACATTTACTATGTTTACATGTAGCAAAAACTGAGATGCTTCAATGCGTTGGGCCTTTGGTTTACACGAAGCTACGAGTCACCGAAAACGATCGTATCTGAAAACTCCGACCAAAGTGGTGATTTGGAAAAACTCCATCTTTGCATGAAGACGGGAGGAGACGGAGTTTGAAGTCACAGTATGCGACAAAAGCATCCTCAGCGTCATATGTGTCCAACCCATGTTTACAGTTTGGCTACATCCTATACTTGGATTGACATGTTTCCCAGTCGATATTTTTCATGAATTTTACTTGTCTGACATACTGCTAGTGTCCCTACAAGTTGACTTTTCACTGGGATTGAGGTCGCGCTGTCCGCCATCTTGAATCGCAAACACGTGCAACTACCTACGATATAACGGTCAGCCATTACTGTGCCTTGCCACTAAATTTTCATGCCAAAACCATCATGGGCCAAACTTTAAAGTGGTATTGTGACATTACTAGCGGGCTGTTGGTTGGACCACTTTGCTACGAAGTAGTCGACCATAAATACTTACCAAAAAAAACCATAAAACTCAACTTTGGATTTTTTGTGGTTTGACCCTCTTTGGTCCTGAACCCCTCAATCTATCTGCAATATACTTTGTAAAAGTTTGTGAAGAAGATTTGTTCCAAAACTCGGAAGTTTGCTCGCATGATAGTCCACATGATAGTGTCATTTTTTAAATCAAATCTAATCTTTTAAGGTTGACAATAAATACATGATAGTGACTTCTTTTAACACTTTGTCTACTTGAATAAGTCGCCATGAGACTCTAAGCTCACTACAGTCGTCTAGATCGTGTGATATTTAGCAAGATGACTCCACACAAAACTGAAAGTTCAACATGTTGTCTGGCTTTTAAAAGCAGAGAAACACATTTTAAATTAAAACGTAAACATAAAAAAGGCAATGACGTTTTATTTTAGTGTCATCAGTTATTTGTAGCTTCGATCTCATAGAAAAAAAATTATATTCTGGCAAATTTTCTGATGATAAAAAAATTAATTAGACACTAAAACAGGAAATCTTAAAACAAAACAAAATCTGAATTATCTGAACACTTTATCTTCTGCATGTAAGTCTCCGTGTCTTAGTTTTGACATGTGGAGTCCTGCTGCCTCTGTGTTTTTGTAGCTGTTGTGTTGTTTCCTGCATCTAGAAATCACTGGCAGCTCAGTTTTGTGAGTTTAAAAGCTCAACTCGGCCAAAAAACAAAGTCAGTCTGGTTCCAGCAGAGTGGCAGTGATTTATGACGGGACAGTGAACCACACATCAGGCTCGTAGCTCATTTTGTCTCCGGATGAACCGACGTAAAACGAGACTAAACTGCTGTCAGTGTTGGTGTTTGATCGCCGTGAACCAACAAACTAGGATGTTTCTGAGAGCGCCTGATCGACTCCCTTTGTTCCGATTGGTCCTTTTAACAATCTAAAAATGTTCAGGGTGTATTTTTGGGGGTTCATTGATGACAACATCACAGGAGGCAGAATTATTTCGGAGGTGTGACGACGAGCTGAAGGGCTAAATATAAATCTGTGGGGGGAACGATTTAAAGTGAAAATGTGTGGAATAGAAAATAGAAAGAAAAGTGTGTTTGAAACAAAATCTAAATAGTTTAAGTCACACTATCTGGTCTGATTTACAGCTCGTATGAATGAAGATATTTGATGCATAAAGGGTCATAAATCAGTATTTAGATG